CCTCCATAAAGTAAATGTGAAATATGGTACCAAATAGCTCAAGTTTTCACATACACTGTCATATATATTTAGAAAAATGTAAATGAGGCCTCTTTGAGTTCAGTGAGTATTGCAATCTCATGTAGCAGCTAAAAAAAGGTACAAGCAAAAGAAAAGCAAATCCAGTAACTAAAAACGATCTTGTCTCTTACATTTAAAAAAAAAATCCATTATCAGTATAATGGCCTTTGACAGACCTGGAGTGTGTCTGAGTGGGAGACCTTCAGGCTTCAGAGATAAAAGCAGGGACAAAAAAAAGAGAGACTGTGAGAATGGGGAGAAATAGTGACAAACAGGAGCTAAACCTGGGGGGAAAAAAAAGTGGGAACCATTTTGAGAGACTATTTTTGATGCATATTTGGAAATGCTATATAATAATGCCAATGTCCTCCTTTGTTTACCCTGCAAATTCTTCACTTAATTCTATATTGCTCACCAATGCTAACGGGCAGGTGGAATTTTGTTTCTGTGAACCTCAAAGGGAATAGCTGATATTACAGATACTACACAACTGTTATTTATAGAAAATTAGTTTATCTTCATTCTCACTAAATAAGTATCAAGCAATACTTTCCAAACATAAATCAGTCTGAAGAGGCATCAAATCATTCTTGCCTTGTCTGGGTGCTCACATGGATCTCAGACCAGCCTTATATAAGGATATAATGTCTTTATTTCTACATGCTAACTGCTCTGATCTTAAATTTTTCCTCTATCTTTCTACCACTTTCCTCAACTGGGTTTTTGTAGGACATGTAATTTTAAAAGTCATTTCAAATCCCTTATGCAACAAGGTGGGTGATAAAGACAAGTAATGTCATACATGCTGATGGCTGGTCAGTCCACAAAAGCCTATTTTACACATATGTTGCCTTCTGTTATAAAATTATTTTCCAAGTTCTAATTTGATATAACCCGAATAAATCCTTCCCTCCCCCAAAACTGACACAGTGATGTAAAGGGGCTGTTCTTTCATTTGTCCACCTACTGGCGGAGTGGAAGAAGGAAGGATGCCTAATGCCTGGCCCAGGGCAGGATCTTCTGCTGGGTAATCAGAGGGTTGCAAAGCAGGGATCAGAAACCAAATCTGTGTGGGTGCCTACATCCTCCCACCAGCATAAACCTGAGTTGAGCTCTGACCTCTCCAAGCTCCCTGGTCACAATAACTGACCCACTGTTTCCCCCTCCACAGTAAAACCAATTGTTGTAAAGATCAGAGTATTTCTATCACAATAAATAGAAGAAGAGTCTCACAACTTCTCTCCTTTATTTCTATCCCTAAAGCAAATACTTGGCTCCTTCGGAATTTCTAAGGGTTTTTCTTTTACAGAAAAGTTAAAAACCAAGAGTAAAAAGCACCCGCTCCAATGCCTCCCAACAACTTTCACTTCCTTCCTTAAATCCCTTAAAAAATAAAAAGTCCCACACAGATGCTAAAGACAAGTCCTTATACAAAGTACTAGGTCAAATTCATCTTGAGGATTTCCTTCCAGGGAAAAGCAGACTAAGTCTGTGTTATTTCAGTGTACCAGAGACACTGGGATTTGAAAGGGGAGCAAAACAGAGGGAGTGCATTTACAACTTACCAAATCAGTTAGCCCAGCTAAAGCAAAAACTCCTAGTGCAATATTAAAATCCTCTTCAATAATCAAATAGCCCAAAACTGGGGCCAAGCCAATTCTTGTCATTGACAACATATTTGGGATTGTCCATGGGTTTTCATACTGAAACACAAAGACATCAAAATTTAAATTAAATGCTATGAATTCATACTTTAACTATATTAGAAAAACACACCAAAAATTACACCAACTTTAGAGTCAGAAGCTATATAAACTTTAAATTTAGTACTCTGAATTTTAAAATCCATTCTGTTGTTTACAGACCATAGCTCTAAAACTGTCCAGAATACAGAAGATGAAGATATGTCATATGCCCATAAAGTATCTGCTATATATAGAGTGTGTGTATGTATACACACATACTTCCTAAAAGAGAAAAGAACAATCATGTATTATTTACCATATAGGTCAAGGCTTTAATATAGGACTTTATGATTAGAATTCAAACCTTACAACACTCTGCTTTTAAAAGTATAACCTCAAGAAGATCTTATACTTCAAATAAACAGTCTAGATGAAGTGTCAGGAAAAAAAAAAAAAAAAAAAAGCCAAATTATCAACCCCAGGCATTTTGGCTTAAAATGTTTAAGCCCTCTGCACATACCCATCAAAAGAAGGCTAAATGCTATACAGTGTATGGACACACGATGAAAAGGAAAGAAAATTTAACTCCATGATCTCATCACTAAATGGATAATTGCTGGAAGAAAATGGAGCTGGAAATAGGGATTGAGATCCTTAGGAAATAAAGAGAAATTTTGTAAATCTGTTCAAAATACCCATGAAAATGAAATGTTAAAGATTCCCACCTAGAATCTGAGGGCTTTAGGATTCCTTGAAACTTCATTTGGAGCCAAGCTGTTTGAAGTTGGCACTAACAAAAGGGCTCTTTTTCAGCTACTATGAAGAACATTACTTCCTTGCCAAACAAAATCTGTTTCATGAGAATATTTCAACTTTAAAAGCCTCGCCCTAGTGGAGCTAAGATACCCTGCCCAACAGGATACAGAAATAATACCAAGAAAACGTCTCCCTAAAGCCTGGACTTTTTCTCCACCGGTGAAGGATGCCAACTCTACCCCACGGGACTATCTACTCACAAACTAACCCTACTTTTAATCAGTAACCAATTAATCTGAAACTTAACTTTGATTTTTTAAAAAAGTGAGTTTCTATTTCTAAAGAAATCTTTTAAAATTCCATGAACCATTCCGTAAGAAAAAGCAGTTCTCTAAAGATACTAAATTTGTGTTTATGAACAAACTGGTAAGAAATGTTCACCTTAGTTTGGAGGGATAATGGGGTTGTTACGGCAGAATACTGCCATTGAAAGCTACAGAAAAACTTCAAATTCTCCAGGAAACAATCACGAAACAAGCAGCAGTACAAACCTCTACTCAAGGACCCTTAATTGAAAGTAGACCACATTATGTAATTAAATGGGAAAATTCTGGGAACATACTCCAAATTTAAGTTCAAAGGTCAGAGTGTTTCATAATCCAGAGGAAAAAAGATAAGGCTGTTTACCATAATGTGGTACAGAATAAGTCAAACACTTATCCAATGTTACAGCAACTCAGAGGGGGAAGAAAAAAAAACAACATAGTTCATGATTGAGAAAAAGGAATCACAAAGCAAAAGGTCAAAACAGAGTCCCAAAATTAATGCCAGAAATATCCATAGGGCAAAATTAAAGACAAAGTTGCAAATAGCCTGATCATTTCATTTGGTGAATTAATCAACAGAACTGTAACTGGAACAGTGAGAGTTCTTTTTGGCTCCACATAAAACATTTTAAAGTACCTCACTAATTTCTAATCATTACATTTGCAAAAGTTTCTAAATTAAAATTAAGAGAGCTAATCTGAGATTACCCAACCAGATAACCTGTGGCATACTCGACCAACTACTGCCGTTCTGGGAAGGACTTCAGCCACCATATGGCAACCTCAAAGCATCCAGCATTCAAACCCCGACATACTTTAGCTATTAGTGGAGCTGAGACCCCGGCCAGGAAGTGGCCACCTCAACCCATGCTGTACAACTGATGAAAGCAGTACAAGGGCCCACTGAAGACATAACAATTGAAGATGTAATAATTGCATGAGTCTTGCTAACATGACATCAAAAGCTCTCCCACATTCATGCTCTGGTGTCTTTGCTTGGGCAGTATTTCAGAAGGTAAGTGGACAAATGTCTCGTTCCATTACCTCAAAAAGAGAGTTGTAATCTTTTTCTACAATTAGAGATTAAAGAATCCTTTAATTACGCCTTATTTATCTTTCATCTTATAATATATAAGGTTACCAAAAGTCAGATGATAGTGAACCAAACCTACACAAGCCAATAGGCTTGTATACTTTTCTAAAGATTCCTACTAACTTGCCCTAAACATTGGGGAATGGCTTCAGAGAATTAAAAATAGACTTAATAAGACAAGTGAAGGCTATTTTTACCAATGCAATATCCTGAGGCCGACCCCGCTAAAGGTGCGGACAGAAAGGGGGCGGGGGGTAGGAAAGGAGAGATTCCAACTTGACCGCCGAGACTGAAGATGGACTCGGTTAGCACCCCTGAAATTCATCCCAACTGAATGACCCGCCCGTTACTCCTCTTCAACCGTTTACAAGTTCTGAACAGAAACGTCTGACTTGGGCCAGTGAGAGCACGTTATTCACGTCCACGTCCGATCCCCGTGAGGGCCCGCGACCCCGACCCAGGGCTGCCCCTCCGCCTCCTCCTCGGTACGTACCAGGCTGGCGGCGCTCGCCTGGCCCCATCGGCCGCTCCCGGGCTCCGCCGCGGCGTCCCCTCCAGCTGCGGGGTCGGGGGCCGCCTTCCCCGCGCCGGAGCAGTGGCCCCGCGGGCCGGCCCCAGGCAGCCACAGGCCGAGCGCGGCCGGGCGCAGCCACCAGCGCTCCACCAGGCAGCCTAGGCAGCCGGGCACCGAGCGCAGCAGAGCCCCGCGGGCGCGCCCCTTGCCTGGCCGCACCCCTGGCGCCCATGCCGCGCCGCGAAGGAACCCCCACGAGCCGCGCGCCACGCGCGAAGCCAGCATGGCCCTGCCGCCGCGCCGCGAGGAGACAGGCGGCGGGAGCTCAGCAGCCTGGGGCACCGGCGAGCCACCTCTCCATAGAGTCCCCGCAACGTCCGAGGAGCTCGGCCGCCTCCATTGCAGTTTTCAAACCCCAGCACGCTTCGCTTATACAGGTGGCCGGGAGCCGCCAAGGACGGACGCCTTCGCGACGCTTTTGCGACACCGGCGGCGCTGGGCTTCCCAGCGCCCCCGGCGGTAGCAGGAGGAGCGTGCCGTTAGGCGCGTTGGGCTTGCGGGGAGCCGCAGGCTGTGGTTGCCGGCTTTTCTGCGCCCACGGCCGGGAGCTGAGGTCCGCGGGGAGGGGAGGACGGGAACTAGCAGGGCTGGGTGATGGCGCGACCGATGTGACCGGAGAGCGCAGGAGCCGTCTCGGGCCTCGGCTTGAAACCCTCCGAGGCCCGTGGCCTGCAGAAGGGCCCCCTCCGAGGTGTGTGCAGCGCTCCGGGGGTACTCGTGGCAGGTTTAAAATGAGTGAAGTGTCTGGTACAGAAGTCATTAATACAAGCTCCCTGCCCTTTTCCCTCTTCGGAGCGTTTCATAAGCCAAAAATATGGGTATTAGAAAATGACAATAGTAGCAATTACTAATTGTTTACCAGGAAAGTGTTTACTACAGCTTGGTTCTAGTGCATTTAATCCTCCCAGCAACTCCAAAATAGGTTCCATTATTACCTTTACTTTTACAGATAAGGGAATTTAGGCTTAAAGAGGTTAAGAAACTTGCTTATTAGAGGAATATCCAAAATAATTAAGAATGAGTTCGTCACTGATTAATATTATGCATTATTAATATTGCGATTATTATATTAATTACTGATACTATGCATTAATATTGCAGTGTTGCAGAACTGTTTTCTTGAGTTCTGTGTCAGATTGGATTTGAATGGTTCTTGCTGCCTCGGCACTATCCCCCCCGCCCTTGTCTGTGATGACAGACCCACCTTAAAAAGTTGATCTTGAACTCTTGTTTCAGGTAGTTAGGAAAAGAAAAGACCAACTGAATTTGAAAATCATTGTAGATCTGAGTATTTATCAAAAGAAATCTTTAATTTCTTATGCACTTATTGAAATACTGACATTGAGAGAAAAGCTAAACTTTCTGCACTAGGAATGTAAAAAGAATAATTTTTTAAAAAATAATCATATTGGAATCAAATACCTACAGTTCTCATAGACAGACATTAGATAATCCTCTCAAGTGAGAATGGGCAGTATTTCAGCCTCTCCTGTGCTTTTCACTCACTGAATTGCCTTTATTCATGCTTTCCACTTCTTCCTAATTTAAGACCGTTTCTCACTGTTTTTTGGGATTTTTCTTCTCTCTGCTCCACAAGTGTTCCTGCTGCGTCTGCCTGTAATAGTTGGTGCTATGTGGTCTTTTCTCTTATTGTGGTAATCATTTCCCAGTATATACTTGTTTCAAATCATCATGTTAAATGTACACAATGATGTATGTCAATTATAGATCAAATAAGGCTGGAAAAAATTTTAATAAAATATAGTAAACTAGTTTATATATATATATTTTATTTATTTATTTATTTTTAAAGATTTTTGTTTATTTATTGAGAGAGATAGTGATAGAGAGAGAGCATGAGAGGGGGAAGCAGACTCCCCGCCGAGCAGGGAGCCCGATGCGGGACTTGATCCCGGGACTCCAGGATCATGACCTGAGCCGAAGGCAGTCGCCTAAACAACCGAGCCACCCAGGCGCCCTGTATATATTTTTTTTAAAGAAAGCCAACTTTACTATGGACTACTGATAGTACTACTAAGTATAAAGTAGGACAGTAAGGTGTCTGGCATTTTGGCCTAAAGGACAATGACAGCTTAATACATAGGACTAAAAACTAGGGGTGCTTGGCTGGCTTAGTCAGTGGAGCATGCGACTCTTGATTTTGGGATTGTGAGTTTGAGCCCCATATTGGGTGTAGAGATTACTTAAAAATCTTAAAAAAAAAAAAAGAAAAAATTAGTAACAGTGCTTCTAGCAATGCATTTCCCTAACATTTTAAGACAGAAAAAGATCCAAGTATTAGTCTCTGATTTCATTTTCTAGAACATGACAAGTGTCAATAAATGAACACGTTAATCTGGGATGAAGGATGGAGAAAAATGCAGAAACCCCGGAAAACAATTCCAGATATAAGATAGTAGGTGCATACAGTAAATAAAAGTGTAACATATTTCCTAACATAGTTTGGAGGAAGGCAGAGGAAACCTAAAAATTCTACAGTTAGTATTTGTTTTATAATAAGTTCATTTTCCCTTTGATAAATACTATGATTGTTAATTTCTATCCAGTAAGATTAATTAAATAGGTGGGCAGCTCACATGTCTGAGGGGATTGGGAATCTCTGTCACTGAAATTTTTCCTCAAGTTGGGAAAAAAAAAAATTAGAAAAGTAAGTCTGTAACAAAAATCCAAATAAAAATCCATATGTAGGGCACCTGGGTGGCTCAGTTGTTAAGCGTCTGCCTTCGGCTCAGGTCATGATCCCAGCATCCTGGGATCAGGTCCCACATCGGGCTCCCTGCTCGGCAAGAAGCCTGCTTCTCCCTCTCCCATTCCCCCTGCTTGTGTTCCTGCTCTTGCTATCTCTCTCTCTGTCAAATAAATAAATAAAATCTTTAAAAAAAAAAAAAAAGAAAAAGGATTATAAATAATTAGCTTTGGATAATTAGCCAGTTGACAGTGTACTTTAGTTCTTTGAAAACATAAATGCTATTAACAGCCACTAATATCTATTGTGCAATCACAGCTATACTGTATTTGCCTCCTTATCCTTTAATTGATCCTTTGCTGAGGAAGTTGTAAAAATAAAAATCCTTCCATTAGAGAGTAGTAGTATCTTGCCACTTTGATGTTTTCCTTGGTAAGCTACAAAGCACTGAAGGTCTGACTGTGCTAAATACATCTTAGGCTTTTGAAAATTCTGTAACCCAATCATTCTTTCTCACTTGTCACTTCTATTTGAAGCGTAAGTTTTTTGGAAAAAAAAAACTCTATCCCAAATCTGTTAATATTTTCTGTCTATTGATAAATTGACAAACTAGAAATATATTTGCCGTCCCCTTATATCAGATATACAATGAGGCATATGTTTGTTATTTATAATAAGTTTTTTAGTCTGGGACATACTAAACTTGAGCCACTTTCTGTTCCTTGGGGACCAGAAGAAAATAATGATAATGCAAAGAAGTAGCTTTGCAAATGGATCTTATATAAATAATAATGGTTGGAAGTTAAAGCAAACCAGAAAATTGAAATTGTTTCTCTAGGAATCAAGTTAAATCTTGTAGGAGTGAACCCTAATTATTGACACTAAAGCCAGTATCTAGTAACTAGTAACTGAAATAAGGCGCAGGTTTAAATCATTGTAATAAACACACCAACAGCCTTAAATAGGAAGGAATAAAATGATTGGATTTAGATTCAAAACACAAGAGAGGGAATTAGTTGTAGGGCCAAGCTCCTCAGGACTCGCAGAGATTAGCTCCACCTAAACTCTATAACTCTTAACTCTAACAAAATAGCTCTTTAATTTACTGAGATTAAATTACTAAGAGATCTAAACTATTTTTTTTTTTGTCAACTTCTAGTGCTAACTTTTCATAATTCCTTCCCACAAAAGTACTGCTGGTACTAGAACTATCAAGTCTCTACCTAAGAGTTTTAGGCAGTCCATTCTTGTAGGAACCTTTAAAGGAAATAAAAATGCTCACAGAGGCAGGCATTACCTACAAACGAGGAAGTCAAAAGGTTGGTTTCAATATATTTACCCTCTTCCCTTTGTAATATTTTAAAAGTAACAAAGGGATTTTTTTTAACAGTATTTAGTGTATGACTTGCTTTATTTTCCATTCTATTCCTCCTTCCTGTCAAAAATTTAAGAATCTTATTTTCCTTTTTGTGGCTTATGGTGCCCTGTTTTAATGTTATTATCTATCCTTTCTGTTTCAGGACAAGTGAGTGAATTTTGGAAGGTGAGAAATCACCTTCATTCCCCACCAGAAAAAAATTAAACCAATGCTGTGGACTCTCGCAGTGATTTACTTCTGAGAGAAACCTTCAAATATGAGCACAAGGTAATTTTTTTTTCCTCCACGGAACAGTTGTTGCTGTTCATATTTTTATAAACCATGTCTCCCTACAGCTCAGCATTAATTTTTTTCCAGTTGAATCAGGTTATTTAATAACCTTATTTCTGGTGTACATGCTGATACATAGGGTAAGACGGTACAGGGCTGGGCAGCTCAGTACTGATCGCATTAAAAACAGTTGTGTTTCTGGCAAAATTGGAGTTAGAATAGGTCCCTTCTGACATTATGAGCAAAGTACAGGGCTGGATCCCTTCTGAAATATTTTTCACTGTTTTCTCATTAAAACTGAGATTTTACCCAGTAAAACTAGGTGTTACCAAAGTAAGGTCAACTTGTGTAGATGTCAGCCAGAGTTTGGGACGGATTTTCTGGTACTAAAGCCACCCTCTGTCTTCTGTTCTTATCAATTCCAAGCCCATTTCCCAGGAGGCAAATTAGCCTAAAAGTATTCTTTTTTTCTACAAACACTTAGAAAATTGTTGTGTACCAGTCATGTCCTAGATTCTAGGCAATCTGCACATGTCTCTATTCTCAGAGAACTTTTTTTTTTAAAGATTTTATTTATTTGACAGAGAGAGACACAGCGGTAGAGGGAACACAAGCAGGGGAGTGGGAGAGGGAGAAGCAGGCTCCCCACTGAACAGAGAGCCCGATGTGGGGCTTGATTCCAGGACCCTGAGATCATGACCTGAGCCGAAGGCAGACGCTTAACGACTGAGCCACCCAGGCGCCCCTATTTTCAGAGAACTTACATGATTGCTCACTATCTGGACTCCAGCCCCTAAAAGATAAATGTCTTCCAAGGAATGTTTTCCAGACATCCTGTAGAATCTGGTAAAAGCTATAAAACATATGCAACACAAATTCTGTGTAAAATTTAAAGGAATCCTGTCACCAAGAGACCCACTCACCAACCCCAAAGAAAGAACCACTAGGCAGTGCTCACTCAACCCTGTGTTCAGAGTTCAGGCGGTCTTATGAGCCCTTTGCCATGTTCCCGAGAGTCAGGTCTTGTGCTTGTTCTCTACAGCCCCTAATCTCATTTATTAGGTGGAGAAAACACAGGGATATCACCTCAACTTTTCTTTAGGGGTATTAACTTAGCAACCCAGAAATTCTGGTGCCTCCCTTTTTATTCTTGGCCTTGGTGAAGGTATGTGATCTTTCTCTGAGAACGGCCAGAGAGGCATCTGGTCCCTTACCAAAAACCTCTAGTCTAGCTGCTGTTTAGGTAACCTCTGATGGTACAGAACTACAGCCAAAGCGGGGGGAGGGGAGGGCAGGGAGAAGGGGCATCTTATGGTCTCATAGGGGAGGTGCCAACAACAAAACGTTAAAAACTTCCACAACTGAAATTTTAGCTGAGAGGTTTTTTTTCACTGAGCGATTCTCCAAAATTCAGAGAGCAGGAGACCACAGAATGACATGACTTACTTTTTTTTTCCCCCAAGCTGGTTTTCAGTGTCATGACTACATATCAGCTCCTACTGTTGGAACACCGTGTGTAAGATGTTGTATTAGTTTCCTGTTGCTCTTGCAACATATTGCCGCAAACTGAGTGCCTTCACACAAATTTATGACCTTACAGCTCTGTGGGTCAGAATCTGACGCGGGTCTCCCTGGCCTTTAAACGTCAACGCACTGGCAGAGCTGTTGTTTTCTTGCTTTTCCAGATCCTGGAGCCCACCCACATTCCTTGTCTGATGCCTCCCTCCTCCATCGGAAAAGCCAACGGTGTTGGGTCTGTTGTGCCTTTTTCCTGCAGTCACATCTTCCTCTCACTGACGCTGTCCTTCTGCCTCCCTCTGTCACTTTTAAAGTTCCTCCTGATTATATCAGGCCTGCCTCCCAATTCTAGGGTCAGCTGACTAGCAACCTTCATTTTCCTTTGCCATGTAACCTAACATAGTCACAGGTTCTGGGCACTAGAACCTGGGAATGAAGGAAGCTGTACATACACATTGTAACTAATTCCACCATGGAGAAAAGCTGATGATGGAAATCAGTAGGTACACTCTACCTTTCCATCCCCAGACCCACTCCCCAGAGCAAACCTAATACAGCTTGTCTGTTTTTAGTTCTTCTGATGGCTACCTCCATAACTTTAAATAAAGCCGTATGCAGTTTTTGTGAATTAATATTGCCTCATGACCGTAAGTATTGTATATGATCTGGGTGGAATGCTTTGGATAAGGATGTATCCGTGAGGGCTTAGTTGCAGGAAACACAAACCACTGTAGCCACAGTAAAAAGAAGGATTGCAAAATGGAATTGGGTGCTTGTAATATTGTTGGAAGGGCTGGAGGAGTGGGTGCTCCATGATGGGTCTCCAGAACTGACTCCCAGGAAAAGGTTGCAGGTCTGGCTTGCTGCAGGAGCTGCTACCCCCACAACAGTGAGAAAGGTGGAGAATGGGGTTTGCTGCCATCACACCACAGCTGCTTCTCAGTGACTGCTGGAAGCTGGCTGCAGAGAAATTAAATGTCTCAACTACACATGCCACCAGAAAACAAGCAGGAGGAAGATGGCTCTCTCTTCGCTTCCACCTTCCAAATCTCACACAGGACATCTAGTCGGTGCAATCCAACTCACACTCAGAACGCTGGCTGCAAAAGGATTTTGGGAAATGTCTCTTTGCTTCCTAGTCTCTGCATGATAGGAAGGCACACTAAGAGGTAGGAATGAAGGTTGGGTATCAAATCACCCTATTCACGACCTTCACCTCTTTGGCTAGGCAATATGCATATACAAAATTCTACCCATTTGTAAACTTCTGTATAACAATAGCAACTACAACATGTTAATGCAAGAACCATATTTCCCTCCTTTATAAAATGAGTTATTTATACAGGCCCATCACTGACTATGTGGTGCGTGTTCCTCTTCTATTTCAGCTACATTCTCACCTTGATAACCTCTATCCTAAGGACTAAATTATCAAGTTAATTATCACCAATCCACTTAAAACACTAGAGGAAAGTAAGAGGGAGGGAAGGCAAATTGGTTAATGTACAGTGCAGAGCCCTCCCCAGCTGGTCACGAGGGTCATGAGGTTGTCGTTAATGTTTAGAACTATCTTCCTCCATTCCCATTCCTTACTCCCTTTTTGCTCAGTCAGCATCTCAGCTGCTCTGGATTCTTTACCTGGTAGCGACTCAAAGCTTTGTTCCCGAGGAGTCTGAGCCTTTGGAGATCCTGCTTGTAGCCTTCCATCACCCCTTACTGGTGGATGTGAATATAGTAGGAGCTGCCCCAGAAGATTCTCTGAGATTCAGAAATGTCCTCCATGCCCCCATTTATAGGAGTGACTCAGTTTCCCCCTCATTCTCAGGTACAAACCATGAATCTTCTTTTTTTTTCTACATCATAGGCGTAAGAACCCAGTATGTTTAGGTGCCAGTCTCGACTTCCAGTTCAATGGAGCCATTGCTGTGTCCTCTGACAGACGTTATTGCCCCTTTAGATAGTAAGACCTCTAGCGAGTAAAGCCCAATTTTATGGGGATGCAAAACAAAAACTTTATGGTCATTAGAAGTAACAGTGAAACTGTTCTAAAATTTGTACCTTGTTTCCTAGGCCCGTGTATTCTGGCTGTGGGAGAAACAGAACCAAGAAGTGGTCACTAGCTTGGAGAAGTTCACGTAGAATGGCACCCCAGACTTGCAAGGTATCGTCACCTAGCTGGCACCATCACTGAATCTTCAGTCCTTTCCAATGTCCCCTAAGGCCAGATGCTTTGGGGTAATGGAGTACATAGTAAAGACAGTAGCATATGAACTTCAACCCGTTGCCTTACTTCTTCAGGCATTAAAGGACTTTGTCAGGGGGAATATTATGTGGGATAGCATGATGGTGAATTCACATACGGCATTGCTAAAAGAAGCCAGGCAGGAGGGGCAGACATCTGAAATAAGCTCCCTTCCCACCCTCAGTGAAAACAAACTGCTGCCCCCTGGAGGCCCAGTGATCAGCCACCAAGTGGCAAGCGTTCCCTTGAAGCATGGTACTGTATTATTTCAGGGTAGGTCGCTCTGCTGGCAAATCAGATACTCAGCAATGGTGATAGTCTATGTCACCCTTGGTGAGGGGAGGTTTAGGCTTGGTGAGCGCAAGCCTGGCTGCCAACCTTGGCCTCACGGAAACTGTGTTCATGAATTCATTGAGCAAGGACTGGGGTGGCTAGAGAAAGAGAGTAGCTGGCATTCATGGAATAGGTGACATCCATTTAATTGTGAAGCTCCTTTAGTGAGAGTATCTTTGGACACAGATATTCTCATACTCAGAGCACATTCTGAGACACTCATTCACATGCCTCTTCCCCAGAATGACTTTCATTCAGCAAATATTTTACTACATGCCTCTCACGTGCCAGGTACTGCTATAGGAACAGGGGACTTAATAGTGAGGATGAGAGTAAAAAATTCCTATCCCTATGGAGGTTACATTCTAGCCGGACTAAGGAAACAGGCATAAAAAAGATGAATAAACTACATAGTATATTAGATTGTATTGACTGCTACAGAGAAACAAAAAAGGAAGGAAGATAGGGTTGGGGGGAGTGCAGTTTTAAAGTGTCTAGGAAAGATGGCACTAAGAAGGGGACAGTTGAGTAATGATCCAAAGGAGTTGGGAGGATGAGCCATGTGACTCTCTGGTGGAAAAGCATATCGGATGGCAGAAACAGCATGTGCAAAGGCCCTCAGATAGGAAATATGCCTGGAATGTTCTAGAACCAGCAGAGACCAGCATGGCTGAAGCAGACTGAGTGAGGAACATTGAGAGCACGGGAATTGAGAGTGTGAACATGGGGCAAGACGTGAAAGGCATTGTTCTGTTCAGTAGCTGCTCCCCATAGCTCCACCGCTCCCCATCCACCCTGCTCTAATCTACAGTGGTATTCTGAGTTTCCTGGGTTTAGTATTAGCTTGCAGATAATATATGACATTTATTTTAGGTGTATCTTGCATACTACAGTTTGTGAACCCTTCTGAAAATTTTTTTGTTTTAATAGGTGAGTTGAGTCCATTTGCATTTATTAATGTGACATATTTAGGTTGTCATGAATGTTAGGCTCTTATTTTAAAAACTTTTCATGATGTAATGTTTTCTGGCTCTGTTGTTTCTGTTCTAAAACTTGTACTGGGATTTGTTTTAATCAGGTATGGTAAGCTGACAGACATGAGACAACTGCTTTTGGAAAGCATTACATTTACTAAGAGAAGGGGACATACCATGCCACAAAGGGCCACATGGGGAAGCACCCAGGTTGGTCAGGAGGCAAGAGTGAGGGGAACCCTAGGCCTTTATTGCTATAGTTGTGGGAAGTTTTTAGGTGGGGATGTCCCCTATTGGAGAGGAAGTGAAACACAAATGCTGGGGATTGTGGTTGGAGGCTTTGTTAGTTGCAAAAGCTAGGATCACAGAGGAGTTGACTTTTAAACAGTATTTATTATTTTCTTCTTTGAACACAATATATTTATACTATATGAATATATATACTATATACTATGTACTATGTGAATACAGCATATGAATATTTATACTATATGAATATAGTATATATTAGCATGTATATAATATATAGCATATATATAGTATACTATATTCATAGTATAAATATAAATACAGTGTATGAACATACTTTATGTAGTACATATCCTTGTTCTCTCATCTGCCGCTTTATTTTGTTTGATGTTATCTGAGTTTTTTGTGAAATATGATTTTAATTCTATTAATAGATTTATCAGCTTTATGTACCTTTTATGCCTCCACCCCAGCCTTTAAAGATGAAGAGATCATATTTACACTATTTACCTTCTCCCTCCTTCCTCTTTTTCAAAATCAGGACTTAATATTTACATTCTATTCTATGGCAATTATCCTCACACTTATCTTAGTTTTTATCTTACAGTTAAACATTCAATGTATATTGCCAGTCTTTCCTCCTGTTCATCTAGTTTGCTGTAAGCGGTCTTTTAGTAGATTCTACAAGAATTGCTCACTTTCTGAGTTCTTGTATGTTAGGAAGTGTTTGTTGCCTTTATACACAAATGGTATTTGTCTGGCAGTCCAGTACCATTTGAACACTCTCATAACAAATGAGAAGGTTTGGCTTTATTGGTCTTGCCTCACTAAAGCAAAACCCAAAAACTTCCCTAGCTTTCTATGGAAGGGCATATAACCTAGCTTTCTTCAATCAGATGTTTCTGAGATTTCTGTTTCAGATGCAGCAACTTAAGGAGACCCCATGAAGAACTCTTTGTTGTTCTTTTGGTCTGGGTGGTGACATTGTTTCCGCCTTTCCCCAGGGGCAGTCATTTCCCAGTGTCCTTGGTAGAGAAGTGACATCAATGGGCCATGGAGGCCCAGCACTTTCCTCTAGTGCCTTGTGCAGCAGTACGGTGATAATGGCTTCCTCTTCAGATCAATTCTTTTTTTTTTTTAAAGATTTTATTTATTTATTTGACAGAGAGACACAGTGAGAGAGGGAACACAAGCAGGGGGAGTGGGAGAGGGAGAAGCCGGCCCCCCGCGGAGCAGGGAGCCCGATGCGGGGTTCAATCCCAGGACCCTGGGATCATGACCTGAGCAGAAGGCAGATGATTAACCAACTGAGCCACCCAGGCACCCCGTTCTCTTTAGGTCAGTTTTAAGGCATGATTTTAGAAAGTGCTCCTCGAAGCTTAGCCTTTTGGTTCGTCAGTCTTCCAACAATTCTGTGAGCTAACCAAAACTCTTAAAAAAAAAAAAAAAAAAACAACAAAAAAACCTCTCATTTTCCTACTTAATCAAGTCAGTCAGTTTCTATTGTTTGCAACCAAGATGCTGCAAACCGTAACCAAATGGGCCATATCTGACCCATTACCTACTATTAAATGGTTTTTAAAAATTAAGAATATTTAGTATTCTTAACATGAAATTTTTATGAAATTCGGATTTCAGTATTCATGAATAAAATTGTACTGGAACACAACCACACCCATTTATTTATTATCTATAGCTGCTTTAGAGCTAAAATGAGAGTTGAGTATTTGTGACAGAGACCATAGAGCCCAGAAAGCCTAAAATTTTCACTCTCTGGCCCTTTACAGAAAAAGTGTGACTCTTGGTTTGCAATTAAGAAACCTGACTGGGGGGCGCCTGGCTGGCTCAGTCGTTAAGCGTCTGCCTTCGGCTCAGGTCATGATCCCAGGGTCCTGGGATCGAGCCCCATATCGGGCTCCCTGCTCTGCAGGAAGCCTGCTTCTCCTTCTTCCACTCCCCCTGCTTGTGTTCTCTCTCTCACTGTGTCTCTTTCTGTCAAATAAATAAATAAAATCTTTAAAAAAAAAAAAAGAAGAAGAAAGAAACTTGACTGAAACATCTGGGTATAAAGTTCTTTCTTAAAAATCTTGTAGGCATGGGTGCCTGGGTGGCTCAGATGGTTAAGCCTCTGCCTTCGGCTCAGGTCGTGATCCCAGGGTCCTGGGATCGAGTCCCACATCCAGCTCCCTGCTCAGCGGAGAGCCTGTTTCTCCCTCTCCCTCTGCACCTCCCCCTGCTCATGCTCTCTCTCTCTGTATCTCTCTATCTCAAATGAATAAAAAAAAAAAAAAAAAAAAAAACTTAAAAAAAAAAAATCTTGTAGGCATTTCTCCAGTTTTACTGATGAATATTGCTTTGAAGAAATTTGAGAACAGCCAGATTTTTTTTCTCCTTCAAGGTGGCTTATCTGTGTGACTTCTCATTCAGCCTCTCTTCGTCTAATTCCTGTACTCCAGCAAGATCCTGAGAAGCTGCTGCTGCCAACCTGTATGCCACAGCCACACTATTGCAAATGGGGTTTTACTTTTTGCCCCAAAAGATGTGTAAGGTATATTTTAATTAAGAAATACGTTTGTTGGTTTCTTCTACAATATTCACCACCAGGCATCATCTCAGCCTCTTCCCTCTTGTAAGGCTGCCTGAGTCATCCTGATAGCTTTTGGCAGCTTTTCCTAGTGTGTTGGGGTTTGGGAATTCAGTTGTCTTCTAGTTCACAGAAAATGGACTATATATTTTTATTTTTCAGTTTCCTTACTGGTTTTGGGCAATTTCACAGGAGAGAAAGGGGAGAATGCCTCCATCTGTTGCTAGGAAACTTTTTTATTCTCTTGAAATTTTTCATATTCTTAAATCAAGTTGCTTACCTACTTTGGTTAAGTTCTGTGTCATCATTTATAAGGGCTATAATCACCCACTGTATGTGTATCGACTTCATAGGGGTATGTGTCAGAATCTGTTTTACCTGTTGGGGCGGCAGCAGCAGAATAAAGCGAAGTCTTTGTCCTTACAAAATGATACAAGAGATGTGGCTTGGTCCAGAATAGCAGAACTGGAAGTAATCAAAAGTGCTGAGTGAATTTGTTGATGGACTAATATGAGGATAAGGGGGGAAAAAAAAGAGGTAAAGATAACACCAATATTTTTGGCATGAGAAATCACCAGGATAGTTATTAAACATTATAAAATTTCAAAATACCTGGGAAAAGGGAAGATCCAAGTACCTTCTCAAGAAGAAAAAAAAGATTATGTGCCAAGAATAAAAATCATAAGGGCCTTGAATTTCTAAACAGAAACACCAAAAACTAAAAACAATAGAGCAACATCTATTTTTAGTTTTACAAACTAAAATTCTATGTCCAAACTATCAATCCAGGGGTAAGGGTAGAATTTGCCTTATGAACTCTTTCTCAGGAAGCTACTCGAAGATGGGTTCTACCAAAAGGAGGCAGGGAAACAAGAAAGAGGAAGACATAAAAGTCAGGAAATGGGACAGAAAAAGAGAAGTCCCAAAATGACAGCTGTGTCGTTCAGACTGGAAAACGCTAGAGAAATCCAGGAGAGAGGTCTCCAAGAAATTAAAATAGACTATTTGACTTGTTTGCATGTTCTGAGAGGAGACATAGACTTGCAGTGGAGCCTTTGGGCCATATTAGTGGTACATACAGAGAAAGCTAAGTAGTTGAAAAACAAATTAATTATTAACTCTAAGGAAAACAAAAAGTCCAGTACAAGAAAGGAGATGAGTAATATTCAATAGTCATAATAATGTTGAAGCTATAGATTTAACATAAGATCATGACATATAACTAAATTTAACATAAAATCATGACATATAACTAAATTGGAACAAAAGGGGAAGGTGTGTGTGTGTGTGTGTGTGTGTGTGTGTGTAGGCATGCAAAAAGGTTTAGGAGAAGAGCATTCTCACCTCTCACCTTCTGTGTAGTAAGTTAATGAGGCTGCTTGGTTTTAATATAAGCCTTGCACAGCTATTGACTTAAAACAGGTACATATTTAACTTCGGTAATGGAACATAATATATATATATATTTTTAAAGATTTTATTTATTTGAGAGAGAGAGAATGAGAGACAGAGAGCATGAGAGGGAAGAGGATCAGAGGGAGAAGGAGACCCCCCGCTGAGCAGGGAGCCCGATGTGGGACTCGATCCCAGGACTCCAGGATCATGACCTGAGCCGAAGGCAGTCGCTTAACCAACTGAGCCACCCAGGCGCCCCTGGAACATAATATTTTAAACTTTTTTTTCAGTAGCTAAGATGTTAAGTTAAATATGTCAATATAAAATATATCCAATTTTTTTTTTGGAATTGTAAGTTGGTTTCAATTTATTTCTGAAAGATACTCAGTATTTGTATGTCAGAACTATTTAAACATTAAGATGTGACTTTGCAAATACCCAGATGGACATTTATAAAAAAACTATGAAGTTTTTATAAGAATAAAAGAGGTCAAAAATAAAACTATGAAAAAAAAAATATATCATTTAAAAATCTAAACAATTTATTTTTAATCTTTCAGAAAAGCTGTAAATATAAAGCATGTGATTTTATCACTTCTTAAATTACCACTCTTTTCCTATTACATTACTTTTAGGACATCATTTCCTAGAGAACAGTATTCTTTTTTTAAAAAAAACGTATTCTTTATTACCAAGATGGTTTTAACCGGAGGTGCTGGTTTGGTAGTACTTTTACATAGTTTGAAGCTGGTAAACCTTTGGGCCTTTTTTTAAGAGGTAACCTTGGTCATTTAATGATCCAATAAAATTTTCAAAATCAGCAACCTGGAATAAAATATCAAAAAACAGCCCATTAAGTAATATGCAAAAATATTATTTATAAAATGCATCTCTCAAACAGAAATATACAATTCTCAAGTTTCTTGGGCAAATTTATTTGTATTTCCTATAGAGAAAACTGCTAACATATGAGCTTTCAATTCTATTATGAGATTCTATTCAATTAGCTGAGCTAATAAAAAATAAGAACTCCAGTATCTACAATATTTTCTTTAAAAGATTTATTTATTAGAGAGAGTGAGCGAGAGAGAGCACAAGCTGGGGGAGAGGCAGAGGGAGAGGGGGAAGCAGGCTCCCCGCTGAGCAGGGAGCCTGATATGGGGCTCAATCCCAGGACCCCGGGATCATGACCTGAGCCAAAGGCAGATGCTTAACTGACTGAACCACCCAGGCGCCCCCAGAGTATTTTATATTTGTTTTAGATTAGCTTCAAAACAAAAATTAGACTAGCTTCAAATCTGAAATGAAGTGGGCAGTTTTCCATATAAACTATGTGCTTAAAGTTGTATTACATCCAATCTCACTAAAACTTTTAAGTAGGTGGAGCAGGTGGAATCATGTCTATTTAACAAATGAGGAAACTGAGATTCAAAGATGTTAAGATGACTTGCCCACAAGGGATTGTCAGAGAAACATGGAAAGTGAGTCTTGCTAGGTTTCTCCCAACTGTCAAGATACTAAAAAAGGGGTAGGTATGTGTTTTAGATAAAAACCTGTTGTTTTTTTTTTAAAGCTCTGAGCAGCTCATTTCATAGCTTAGAGAAAATAAGTTTATATTTTGAAATACTTCAAAAAAGCCTATTCCATTTTTTTATCTAAACCTTTTATTATTTTTTTTTGATCTCCATTTTATCTTTTTAATTTTAATTCCAGTAATAGTTAATAGTCTTATGTTCATTTCAGGTGTACAATAGTGTGATTCAACAGTTCCACATATTATTCAGTGTTCCTCATGATGTGTACTTTTTTTTAAAGATTTATTTTTATCTTTTTCTAAAGATTTACTTATTTGAGAGAGAATGCACATGTGATCGAGTACATATGGGGGTGGGTGGGACAGAGGGAAAGAGGGAGAGAGAATCTCAAGCAGACACACTCCCTGCTGAGTGCAGAGCCCAACTCAGGGCTCAATCTCAACACCCTGAGATCATGGCCTGAACCAAAATCAAGAGTCAGACGCTTAACCGACTGAGCCACCCAGGCGCACCTAAAGATTTTATTTAAGTAATCTCTACACCCCGGTGTGGGGCTTGAACTTGCAATGCTGAGATCAAGACTTGCGTGCCCCACTGACAGAGTCAGCCAGGTATCCTTGATAAAGTGTACTTTTAATCCCCTTCATCTATTTCACCCATCCCCTCCCCCACCTCCCCTCTGGTAACCATCTGTTCTCTATAGTTAGGAATCTGTTTTTGGTTTGTCTTTCTCTCTCTCTCTTTTTTTTTTTTTTTAAGATTTTTACTATTTGAGAGAGAGATAGCACAGAGGGAGAGTGAGAGGGAGAAGCAGACTCCCCGCTGAGCAGAGAGCCTGATGCAGGGCTCAATCCCAGGACCCTGAGATCATGACCCGAGACGAAGGCAGATGCCCAACCAACTGAGCCACCCAGGCGCCCCTTGTTCATTTGTTTTGTTTCTAAAATTCCATATATGAGTGAAATCATATGGTATTTGTCTTTCTCTGACTTATTTCACTTAGCATTATACTCTCTAGCTCTATCCATGTTGTCACAAATGGCAAGATTTCATTCTTTTTTATGGCTGAGTAATATTCCAGTGTGTGTGTGTGTGCATGTCTGTGTGTGTATGTGTATGTGTGTGTACTGCATCTTCTTTATCCATTCATCTATTGATGGACACTTAGTTGCTTCCATAATTTGGCTATTGTAAATAATGCTGCGATAAACATGGGTGCATATATTACTTTGGAATTAGTGTTTTTGTATTCTTTGGGTAAGTGCACAGTAGTGTGATTGCTGGATCATTGGGTAATTCTATTTTTAATTTTTTGAGGAACTTTTGTACTATTTTCCACAGTCATCCAAATCTTTTGATATTTAAGAGCTCTATACTTAATAAGGACCTTATGAGATTGTCATTAAAAGATTTATTAAGTATTTGGTTTATCATACCTGAATGTTTAGCTCTTTGGCAATCTGCCGAAGTTGTTGAAATTGAAATAAATTATTGTAAGTTCTTTCAGCAATGTTGTTGAGAGCAGAAATAAATCTTTTTGCTGTTGACCTGTTGCTCATTCCAGAACCGTGCTGGGATCGCTCAAAATCTAGGTTTCCAAATTCATCAGAATAAGTTCCTAGCATGCTTAATGAGAGAAGAAAAAAACAAAGTTACCCAATGTGGCATGGCTATAAAATTTCTGTCCCAGGTTATAAGAAGAAAAATGTGTAACCAACCATGGGGCTCATGTAGCAAAGATTTAAACATGTACTGATTGAATGGCCACCATGAAATTCACTATGGTATGATCTATGTGGAGATAAAAACATTTGTGGACACAGTTACCACTTTTAAGAAACTTACACATTTGAGAAGAGAAAAGCATAAGAATACAAAGTTGATAAACTATGATATAAATACCTGGAACATTCTTTTTGATTCATGAAAAAAAGAAATCCTAAACATACTCAATTTAGGCTTTAGAGGAAAAAGATATGTTCCCAGCTCCTAGTAAAGCATCTGACAAATGAAAGATGTTTAAAAATACTGTGGAAATGAACTAGAAGGGTTCTGTTGATTTGCAGTAATGATGGTTAGATATGAAAGGATCCACCTATTATTTCTAGTTCTCTGCTGCTTCCTCTTATTTTCACAGTATCATCAAAGAAAGACATATGTACTTTATAGTAGATTTTAGCCAGAAGTCTGAAAACACCAGAGATACAATTAGCCATCATCTGTAATCCAGCTCTATGGCTGATTCCCTGCCTGTACAATGGAACAGATATAATCTCACAGCAAGGCTTACAGGCAAAATGTTATTTAAATCAGGAATTGGTTAATCAAATATAAATTGGTCACCTGCTAGGTAGCAGACTTGTAGTGGTGAATAAAACAGATGTAATTCCTGCCCTTAAGGAGCTTATAGCAATGAGTTTACAGGGTTACTAAAACATATCTTCATTTTGTTCCCTGACTAGTAAGAGCCTACATGAAAGAGAAAGCTCTACAAATAGGAATGAGTCATCCAAATAAGACTGTAATAAATAAACGTAATATTTATTTTCTCATAAGATACTTTTCAAAAATGCTTTAAGCTACTATGTCAATTATTAACAACTTATGTTCACCTTAATTATATTTAATCACCATATGCTATCCCATTTAGTCCAACAATCCTCTGATTTAGGGACTACTATTCCCATTTTACAGATGAAGAAGCAAAGTCTAGTAAGGTAAGTGACTTGCCAAAAGTTACACAGCCAATGAGTGGCAAATCTGGAATCTGATGTGAGCTATACGGCTTCAGATGTGAAGATTTATAAATATCTGAGCCAAAAAGAGAAAAAACTCAATTATCTTTTCCTGAAAGAGAAAAAACTCAATTATCTTTTATCTTTGAAGGTGGTTCTATTCTCCTGTACTTCTAGTATATTTTTAAAGAAAACTTACATGAACTTTTTCCCATAACATTTAGTTTATTCAAAAACTCAAGAGAGGGAAACTGAAATGGAAGAGTTAGTGAATGGAAAATGATTACTACGGTCAACTTTACTATCAAGGCAGTACATTTACTGAGGGCATACTGTGTGCTAGGTATGATCCTGGATCCTGGAAGTACACTGGTAAATACGACAGATAAGGTCCCTGCTCTTACAGAGTATAGACTAAGGTCAGAAAGCATGGTAAGTATAACAAAAACAGATAATTCACAATCTAGTCTCAATATGTTTAACTGGTCTTGAAATATACCATGGAAATAACAGCAGGTAATTCCAATCACTAGGAATCAGCTTATTCTCATTATCTGAAAATTTTTATGAAAGCCAGTAAAGAACATTCAATTCACGGAAACAAACTGGTAATCTCACATAGGTACTGTTTATAGTTAACAACGAGATATGTTTTTTCAGGAGCCCAGAAGTAAACTGACAGCTGAAAGCTAATTCAGAGTTACCAGCAAGGCAATTTTGAGAAGCAGTAGAAACAAATACAAAGTTCTACAAGAAATGCTAAAGAGCTCCTCTTGGATGGAAAAGTATATGTAAACACTGTCTGACATGAAGATTCAGACATGCAGAACCA